TCGGTATAAGCGTGGAGGTGATCGTTGCCATTAGGTTGAGGTATTTATACTTTCCGGACACAGTCAATTAAGGTTAATTGAAACAAATTTAATTCTTACAAATCACTCAGAATGAGCCAAAAGCAAAATCTGTTCCATTTCGGCTTAATTTCTAAAATGCATTTAAAGATCGGTCGTTTTTAGGAATCCTAATAGTAGGGATATCACGTCACTGCCGTCTGGATCCTTCCAATAAACGACGAAAAATGCGTTAGTATGTCGTTTGAGAGGTTCCTTGCAGACAGCTTCAGGACTAGCGCTTCCACGACCATGGAGAGCGTAGAACACTAAAGGTTCTTGATTTCTGGTTGACCAGGTCACTCGTTCTCCTACCACCAACAAAAAGCCATTATATCAGCTTTACCGTGTTCTTAACTTCCTAAAACGCTTATTTCACAGAATAGATAGAGATGACTTCCAGATTATCTTTAGCACGTAGATTCGACCCTTATTGGAATACGGGAGTCAAATTGCTCACTCCCGCTTGGTGAGCGACCGTACGGCCCTTGAGCGTGTACAACGGAGGGCGACAAAATTTGTACATGGCTTGTTCTCCACCCTTTACCCCACACGCCGCTCCATCTTGAATCTGCACCCTCTTGAAACCCGCCGGGTAAGAGGTGACATCTTCCTACTGTACAATCTGTTCATATCCGGCAGGGTCAATGAATTCTTTGTGCGCACTAGTATGGATAATCTTCGTGGGCATAGCATGAAACTCTTCAAATCGTGTGCCCGTACACTAATCCGTCAGTGCTCTTTCACCCACAGTGTCATTCCTCTTTGGAATAACCTCCCTCAAGAAGAAGTTATTTCCCCCACAAAATACGCTTTCAAAAGGAATCCAGACATGTATCTTGGTCTAATTCCTGAATAGTAAGATCTCACCGCTCCATGGTGTTATTTTCCTGAAATTTACGATTCGTCGCACTGCATGCAGATACTGCACTCCCTCCTCTTCTCTTAACTCATTTCAGGTAACCTTCCTGCTCAAAGAGAACGCGAACTCAATCAAAGTATCCAACATCCCCCGCAGTGGAGACTTGTCCGTACCCGGCTCATCGGGACGCAGGACCAGAAGAGATCTTAGAAACCACTAAGATCGGGGACCATTGGGCCTAGTCTCGCACCCATCTAATGCTTCAAGATTTCAAGACTTTCAAGACTCAGAAGTCCCCATATGATTGTCGCGAATTAACTTCTTATTCTTGTTGTACCAGGACATTTTCAGGGTCTTTGAATCTAGATAAACAGACGAAATGGTTAGCTGTCTGCAATGTTTTGTGTTTTGAACTGAACTGAATTGAGCTGAACCCGTTATGACCTGGCAAAAGTGTTTGTTTGAATTCGCAACTTAAATAATTTGGCGCCAGCGAAAGGTGATGTCTTTGCTTAGGTTAGTGTTTATCTTCCGCTCATTCTGCGAGCGCTTCGAGAACAAAAGTCACTCTTTATTATTTGTAGCCACTTACCTGCTCCGGTGCAGAGGCAACAGGATGATCCGGGGACATCGCTTTCTATATCCGTTGGGTCCCGGGTGTTGGTTGCCAAATCCACGATTCCACCATATGGCCATCGCAAAAACTGGGTTCCCCGATCTGCAGAAGATTTTGCAGATGGCGGTGCATTTCCGGAGATACATGTTCCCCAATTTCCTCTGGATATGGGCCGTCAAAAGAATGAGTCTAATGCCCTTGTGGTTAAAACAGATCAAGATGGAAAGATCAGATACGATGAACTAGTGCGACAAGGGCACAGCAAAGATCGTGTCATTTATTCTAAGTTCACCGATCTTCTCCCAAAGACAATAGAGGATGATGATCCAGAGTTGAGCAAACCCAGTCAAGATATAATTCAAGAGGTAATTGCGGATTTATGATTGTAATTCTTTAGACCACAGAGAAAACCCGCAAGGCACTGGAGTCACTTGTGGAACAAAAGGTGGCCGCAGCTGCACCTGTTCGTCGTGCTGAGAAAACCAACCCTGCGGAATATATTCGTTACACTCCCTCCCAACAAGGTCTAGCTTTCAACAGCGGTTCCAAACAACGATTAGTCCGCATGGTTGAAATGCAGAAAGACCCCATGGAGCCTCCCCGATTCAAGTATGATCGTTTGAGTTACTTCTCACATTTTTAGAATAAACCAGAAAATCCCTCGTGGGCCGCCTTCACCACCACCTCCGTTAATGCATTCTCCAGCGAGAAAGGTTACCGTGAAGGAGCAGCAAGATTGGAAAATCCCACCTTGTATTTCCAATTGGAAGAATCCTCGTGGTTATACAATCCCGTTGGACAAGCGGGTTGCCGCTGACGGTCGTGGTCTGCAAACTGTACATATCAATGAAAACTTTGCAAAACTTGCCGAGGCACTTTACACAGCTGACCGTAAGGCTCGCGAGGCAGTAGAAATGCGGGCACAAATCGAAAGAAAAGTGGCACAAAAACAAAAAGAGCGCAAAGAAGAGCAACTTCAGAGGATTGCGCAATTGGCTAGGGAATCCCGGGCAGGCCTTCGCCGGCCTGGGCAGGATACAGAAGTGGACAACGACCCTAGCGTCGTAGACCGTGAAGAACTGAGAAGGGATCGTGCAAAAGAACGAATACGGGATCGAAATTTAGCCCGCTCCAATACAGACACAAAGGCAAGGGCACAGAAGGATAAAGAGCGAGACATCAGCGAACAAATAGCCCTTGGTGTACCGAACCCGCGCGTGGGAAATAACAATGAAGCTCAGTTCGATCAACGGCTTTTCAACCAATCCCGTGGTCTAGACTCGGGATTTTCCGGAGGTAGGTCTCGTTAAATGACAATACAACTTTTTAGGTGCGGATGATTTGTACAACATTTACGATAAACCGTGGCGGGGAGATTCCGAGCTTGGTTCGCATATTTACCGACCTCGTCAAAAGGATGTTGATGCATATGGAACAGATCTCGAGACTATAAAAAATACACGTAGATTCGCCCCGGCCCAGGAGTTTTCAGGGACTGATCCAACACGCCGTTTGGATGGACCAGTTCAGTTTGAACACGACGAAGAAGATCCCTTCAACTTGAACAAGTTCCTTTCCGAAGCCAAACGAGCTCCTAAACGTCCAGGCGAGGGTGTTTCGATGGAGTCGAGCAATCGCGACACAACACATCGCAAGCGTGATCGTAAAGACTGATGCGTGGCGTGATCTGTGGTTGTATATACTTCTTTTTCACTTAACCCAGTTCCATGTGAATATCATTTTCTGCCCATGATGCCTTCTGGATTTTTCGAGGAATATTACCGGATAGTGGTTAGCCGCATTTAGCCGTCAGCTGCACTGCTCTTTGGAAATACACCGAATACCTAAATTTGTCCCAAGCGTTACCTTCGATGTACGTCGTTTAACATGTCTTACTCAGTAATGGGTACGTTCCTGAGCTTTGGTTGCGTGTCGTTTTTTGCTCCCTTTTTCAGAATATATTATGATGCAATTTTCAGAAAAGGGAAAGCTCCCAATCAAAGGATTACCACAAAGAAAGTGGGGCAAGTCAGGCTACAGGGGAATTGAAACTCCTCCAGGGTAACCCTTACCGCTTGTCCCACGCTTTCAACAGATTTCGCCTTTCTCTCTCCGGGACCTATTAAATCCCTTCCCAACTGCAGCAGCGGACACCTTTATTTTCAGATGTCACTTTTTACGCACAAAATGATATTTACTTTGACGATCACGACAGTTCGTTTGGCATGGTATATTCCGTTGCTTTCTATCTGTATATATGCTTACAACTTACCACTGATTGTGAGCTCTTTTTATTTCGTTGGGTCTGTTTAACAAGTGTAGCTTCCCGGGTTTATCACCTGGCGACAATGGAGGTTAATCTAAGCATCTGCTTGTCACGCGTGATATGGTGCTATACGCGAGCTTATTTTCCATCCTTTATGGTTCATAGCCCATTCGTTTGTTCCGTTATCCGAGTACTACTTCTCTGCGGCTGACTCCTTTGAAAGCGTTGGCTTATAAGCGATCATGGAGTTTCATGGTAGCTCGATACTGGAGACGTTTATCCCCACAGCAGCCCTCACGCAACCAGGTGCAGATTGCAAGGCGTTGGTGTTGGTGCACGGTTGCCAGTGGTTCCGTAGGTTCGTTATTCTTTAGATGTAGTTGCAACTGGGGTCTATGCACTCCTGTTAGTTGGATAGGCTTAATTCAAAGTCGAATCAGGTAGCAAATCTCCACCGCCCATTCAGGAGTAGCTGTCTTTGCATGCTGTACAGCGTCTTTATGTAGTGTCCTGTCAAGCGAGACCACTTAACTGAACGGTTCGGCTTTTCTAGGGCATGCCTACTCAATCTCCCCTACTGTACGTTCTTTGAAAATACTTGAGCTGATTGGAAAAACGAGATTCGTGGCTGGGACGCAGAAGATAAGAATGATTCCCATCATCGTACAGTAAAGCGAAATTCATTGATCGTTGCCAAACTCGCAATTGATACAAAGTAGGAACATGTAAAGTAGACGCACTTGACCGATTTTGAAGGACGGGGAAAGAAAGCGCACCTCTTTGATCAACACAATACACAATCTCTCTGTGCCTACATACTAGTTCAAGCATTTTGGCCTGACAAGAACGCCACTGCTGTCTTGTGTCATCCAGTCTTTGGGTTACCTCCCTGGAAGGTTAGTGGCACCTAGTCTATCTATTCGCCCCGCGCATTTCCTCATGTCTCGTCTCATCGCCACGTCATTTGTTGATCTCCACGGGGTTTCTACCAACCCGGAGCGGCTACAGTAAATGATGCAGGGTGCGGCAGACGACAGCTGGGCATATGCTATACGTGCCCTACTAATCGGAATTCGCTGAACTAGTTTATCCCCGCTAAACTCCCAAACACGACGACCCACCTCCAGATCACTAACTCGTTCGCTCCACACCACTTGGACTACACCACATTAACACTAATAGTGGAAAACTTAAATGTGGATAACAGCAGACGGGGCGAACCCCCCTTGGTCAGGAAAACTGGTGCTCAGTGATGGAAGGTCTCAAAGTCTTGGTCAGAAAGCAAAATTCAACGATTAGTAGCACAGTATATACCATATTGTAACTTCAATGGAACGTCTCGTTAACGCCAATCCTGCGTATGCTGCTCGAGACTTGATAACGCGGGCGGTTGTCTCCTTTGATTCGCTGCCGTCTTTGGTCACCCAAGTACGAGAAGCAGTCACTTTTAGTTAATTTCGGATCCTCTAGTTTCAGAATGGGACTCGGAGATACTCAATTTTGCAGATTCACTGCACTTTGATAGAAAGCGCATACCAGAAGGAACAACAGAACTTGCTAATCTGTCAAGTGTTCTTTGTGCATCCTCCATAGATTGGGACAGCCAAACGTTGTATATATATATATATATATATATATATATATATATATATA